GCCCGGAGCCGGCGGCGGGGCGCGGGGTGGGGCTGGGAGCCCTGGGAGGCGACAGCCGAGGGCGCAGCCACAACCTCAGCCGCCTCGGAGCGGTAGGAGGGAGCAGCTGGTCGCTGCGTCGGGGCCGGCCACTTTCTGGGGACCCGGCTCCTCTAGCCCCCGGAGAAGATAGTGCTCCATGTCCTTCGGTAGTTCTGGTTCAAACCTCTCTCAACGACATGGAAGAATTTTTGCAACGCGCCAAGTCTAAACTGGTAAGTTGAGGGAACGAGGCTGTGTGCGTGTGTGTGTGTGTGTGCGCGCGCGCGGGTGCTGATGGAAAGGAAAGGACACTGCCGCAGAGGAGGAAGAAACAACTTTGCCACTTTGTTGTCAGGGTGTGCGGGCTGTGCCCTGAAAAGAATCTCTGGAACTCTGGTGCTTACAGCAGGCCTTCTGTCTCCATAATCCTCCCCTACAGCCAAAGCGTCGGGCTGGGGAAGGTCGTAACCTGGCTGAAGTTGGGTGTTGTGTGTCCAGCTTTGGTCCTTTTGGCTTGAGGTTGGAAAGAGGCAGACGCAGCCAAATCTGCAATTTGCTTCTGAAGGCTAGAGAATAAATGGGCGTGGTGTTCCTTGAGCAAAGGAGTCCAGCCTTCTGCAGATGCAGTACGCCTAAGTGTAAAAGGAAAGGAAACTGTACTTTAGCCTGAGGGGTGGCAAAACGTAAGGGAGGAAGTGAGGGTGCCAACTAAGAGGAACGTGTGCGAGTGCTCAGTTTATCCAAGCATTCCTCACACGGAGCTTGCTCCAGTGTGGGGAGGCGGGTATTCTAGTGTGAATAGTGCTTCTCTGGTCCCTGTTCAGATCTGTAACTAGGGGCAGAGGTAGAAGGGGGAAACCCCAACTGTTGCTGATGATGTGGGCTTTGCCAGACTACCGTTCTCCTGGGAGGAGACCAGCATTTTGACCCGCTCTGTTTAACTGTACCGCTGTCTAAAGAGTGAAGGGTAATTTTACTGTGTATATTGATAGTTGCTACACATTCTGGAACAACAGATTCTAACAGTTTCCTAATTCCAAATTGTTTTGACTCTCCAGCATAGCAGTAATGAACGTAATGGAAATGTTTCTGTTTTCGCACTTTAAAAGAAAGCTTTTGCCCATTTGGAAGCAAAATCTTTAATGAGCAGTGAAAGCACCTTTTACAGGCCTGGCGTAGGAGGAAATGCATAATTTATGTTTCCTTTAACCTTTAAACCTTCAAAGAAGCCAAAATATAAAGTCTGCATTAAGGTGACGTCTTAATCACAAGGCAAGATATTTGCAGGGTCATTACTGTAACTCATTTACCCTTGCACAACAAAGAGAGTGAAGATGGAAGTGTGATTCTTACAAAGATTTAACTGTAAGTATCTTTAAAAAGACCATTAAAGTTGATTAATACTGTTATAAGTACTGTGTTTTCTACCTTAAGCCTCTAGAGAATTGATAGACTGTGGGGACTTCAGAATCAAGGTTTGTGATCATTTCTGTGCTTATTGCTGGACCCTTATAGGTTCACTTGAGAACACAAAGGAAAAAACTGACTGCAGAAATCACTCGCATTTCTGATAGTGTTAGTATGCTTTTTATTGTTTATCTAACAGTGAGTGAGAAATGGTCAAAGAAGGTCAAGTTTGACGACTTATTTATTTTTTGTGGATGAAAGTAAATGATGGTCTACGATCATGCAGTTTTAGACTGCACCTGTGCTCCACTCCCACAACATTTATTTTAAAAATAAACATTTAGATCGTGGGATCTGATGTGAGCAAGAGGTTTGTCTCATTTCTGAAGAGCAATTGCTTGGATGAAAAAAAATCCCTATTTGCGGATAATTGGCTGAAAGTAATATGTGAGTTTATTTACGAGTCCCTTCATTAGATGAGCAATTGCTCTATATCATTTAGAAAAATGACAAGAAAAAGAAATGGTTGTTTGAAATACGGTTCCTAGTTTCCTACTTTAGCCAGAAGAACAGTTACTGGTAATTTTGTTTTTTCTTGCAATAGATTTCTTGTTAGAGATCACAATTAGCCTTTCATATTCAGCCAAGGTGTTTTGGTCACATTTCCCCTGACAAATTACATTTTCTAGGTAAATAAAAATTTTACATAATATGCAGCTTTCAACTACAGTAGTAGATAAACCTTCTGTTTTAGAGGAACAATGAAGAAAAATTAAGTTAGTAATTATGGCTTTCATTTGTGAGATGTACGTTCATAATAAAATGGTAGGATTTTTAAAAATTAGGTTAATTTTCTCGAAAACATTTTAGGGAGAAAAAATTATCATGCTAATTTTCACTTAAGTTTTATTAGACCAGAATTAGAATTTAGGTGTTATGTTGAAGACATTTTCCATGAGAAGTTGATATAGATTTATCTATATGATACCTAAAAAAAGACTAATGTGTAGGTTTTTTCCTACCTACTTGACTTCTTGCTTTGATATCTTGTAGCTATGAGATATCTCTTTTAATGGTTTGAAACAACCAATGTCCCTTCCAAAGTCTTAACATAACATCATCATCACTGGAGCTAGCTAATTTCAGTAGACCAAGGGAATCTGCAATTGTGAAATAGAATTGCTATTAGACATAGATGAAATCTCCAATAATCAAAACTTTGGAGAAATTGTTTGTATGCGCTTTCTTCCAACTGGGAACATTTATTTTTCATCTGTCATTGCGAGAAGCAGCTCTGCTTTCCAGGCTAGGACCCTTGGGTTGAGCAGAAATCCTTGAAGAAGAAGGGATGTTTTTCATTTTTAATCAGGTAGTTTGGAGCTTATTTCTATTAAAATTGGGAGAGTCTCTTAATTCTGTTTTTCACCCCAGTTCTGCTAGTCCTTAAACTGAGGCAGATTCACTTACATAATCCCATCCCTCTTTTCCTTAAATCTCCCTCTTCCAATACCCACCCTTTATTTCCAATAATACGTGATATTTATCAGAAATGGCAAAAGTAAGGACAAGGCTCAGACCAAGGCTGCAGCTACAGCTGCAGCACCGGCTCAGGCTCAGGCTCAGGCTCCCAAAGGCGCCCAGGTCCCCACAGAGCCTCCAGAGTAGAGGGTTTCATCTACTGATGTGAGGATAGAAGGACTGATGTGACCCCTGGGCTGCTGTCTGCATGGGGCTCATGTCCACCTGTGCTGTTTGTACAAATAAAGCTGAGGCAGGATCTATCAAAAAAAAGAAAAAGAAATGGCAAAAGTAACCCTCAAGTGTGGCCTCAGAGGGATTGACCCCTCCTGGAGCTCAAATGCTTCTCAAGGGGGCCTGTCTCCTGCCTGGTTAGGGCAGGCTGGTTGCCTAGAGCATCTCTGTAAAACACCTTAGCTGGAGGTGGAGGAAAACAAAGGAAGTAATCACTCCTTCCAAGCACAGTCTCCAGAAATGGTGCCTTCCTGACTAATAGGGAACTGACCCAATTATTGTTCAGACAATCAAGACAATAGAGTAAGCACTATGAGAACAAGACCCCCGCCCAAGGCAGCAGAGCTGGTAACCAGAGGGTGATGCTTGTTACCCGGGTCTCCCCACTAACCCATGCGAGAACCCAGCCATGTTTCTGATCTGACTGCTCACTGCTAGAGCTAGAAATGAGAGTGAAAACACATTTCCTTTTTCTCCTGCCAGTGCCCACCTGGATTTTTTCCCACCTGCACTTTCTGAGCTGGAATAGGCACAGGCATCAAATCTTTTAGTTCCAGGTCCATCCTTACATTTTAGCCATGCTTTCCATTTTTAATTATGCCATTTCTATGATGATGTCTTAGTCATTCTTAGCTATACTCTCTCCATTTTAAGGGAAGTTGAAGATGGGGAGGGAATGAGGGCTTCCAGCCCTAGGCTGTGATTTAAGAAATGTCCTTCAAATTTCATAGTGTTCAGCTCAAAAAAGGATTGAGGCTAAGATCGCCTCATGATGGCAGTAAATGGTCCAAGTTCCCATGAACTTTGGAGAAAAAGATGAAGTAAATGAGAAACCAGACCGCTGGGACTCTGGCGGGCAGGAAGCCAGAGTCCCCATGCTTGGTAGACTGGCTGCCGAGCCTCTCTCACTGCCAGACCCCAAGATCTGTTGTAATTCAAGCAGCTGCTCAGGGGTGGGTGTCATTGCACCCACGTGCTCTGACGTGGGTCATGAGCCAGCATTGGGTGTGTGTGTGGCAGGAGGTTCGCTGCCAGCAGAAGGGTATAGGGCACTGCAGTATCCCAGGAATGCCGTTTTCAAGGGGAGGATGGGGAGAGGGTCACTATGACCTCTAGAGTCCGGGGAATGCGTCTGCCTCTTGAGCAGTGACAGCTGCAGACGAAGGGCTCATTTCTGCAGTGGGAATTGGTCAATGTGTGCACTTCTGTAAAAAAAAAATTCTGGGTGACCCTAAATGTCAACTTATACTCTGTGGTATGTGGCATAGGGACAAGAAAGCCTGTTCAGAACCCTAAAGGAACAACCACATTAGAGTTGATAGAGGAGATGGGTTTAAAATAAGGAAGAAAGAATGAAAGAAAAACACTACAGCATGTCTGCAGAGTAATTATCTTGATTTGGAAATTGGAGAAATATATTCTTCCCGATTTCCTTTGTAGGCACAAGGTCATGTGTATCAATAAAAAAGCATCTTCAAAATGAATCTTCTTGAAGGGCCACAGTGGTAAGGACTGGTAATGATGGCGATGCTGGTGGAGCAGTTTCACTGTGAAAGCTGAGCTTGTTCAGATCACAGACCACAGGATTGCCTCCCTCCCCATCATGAATGAGGGCTGGTGCTCTTGAGACTTGCCAGAGCATTCCCGAGCAAGAAACTCAGGAATCCAAAGCACTTCTGTGATTGTGGTTCCACCCCCTTGGGGGCTGATGAGAAAAGAGCCCTTGGTTGTTTTAGTCCTGGAGTAAGCTCCATCTCTCCCTGCCCAAGCTTTCAGACCGAGGGCTGTGGTTTGTCCCAGCCCCGGGGCCTGTGGGGAAGAACCAGGCTTTTTCAGCATAAATCCCAGGGTGGATTCGTCTTCCTCAAATGTAAAGAATTGGTCACTGCCATTCAGACGGCACCTTGCGTCTGGGAGGATGTAATCAGGTGAGCAAGGACACTTTTTAATCAGAAATTTAGGGAATATTTTATGTCAACTAGGTAAAAAGGTGACCGCTTTTGTATAACTTGTTTGCTTCTCTGTAGCATCTGTTTGGGCAGATATTAACAATGCTTTGGGTTTGATGTACCAG